CTTTAACAGAAACAGGTCAAAGTACTGCAGCTAAAAAACCTTCCATAGAGGCTCATAACCCATTCTGTGTAAAAGAAAGGTACTGGTTATATTTTATGATCTTATAGGTGATGATTCCTTGTTGGCAGAAGACTTTGCTGAAGTCTTGCTGCTGTAACATACAAATGTCCCCCTGGGGATGAATAAAGTACATATCTATCTATCTGTCATCCATCTTTATTTTGCTGATGATACTTCTTTGAATTCTGCACTTTTACTCAAATAGAACATGAACGCAGGACTATTACCTGTAATGGAGTATTCTTACTTACATTTATGGTTCAGACCTGTAACAGTGAGAATGAGTAAAGGTAACTGTTTCAGCGAGATGACATAATGAAATCTTGCCCCTACACCACCTAGATATGAAAGGTGCTTTCGTTACTTCAAGCTAAATCCTGCTAGATGAACTGGAGGGGCCGTACGTGCACGCGATAAGTCACTGAACGCAGTCTGTCACAGAGGAGATTATGGAAAGTTCAATAACAGTTTCCCCCTCCTCTGCTTTGATTCTTCCAATTTATTAAACTGTGGGAGATCATATCGGCTGCCTTAAGCTGCAGGGGAGCACGAGCAGGCAGGCCGCCATGGCTGTTGGATGAAAAAACAGATGGCTGGCCAGGGGCCTCCAGAGGAAGACTAACAACATGTTCATACCTTCAATTTGTTAGCTCGCTCTGCCCGACTGCAGGAAGGGAATCCAATAGCTTCATCACTTCATATTCCCCCGACTTCAGGGCCCCATTTCAGAAAGCAGGTTTAGTGAAAACTACAAGTTAGTTAACCCTGAGATTCTCTTCACTGTCTGTTAGAATGTAAAACCGTGTCTGATATTACATTTTTACTCAAGAAAATCTAAAGTTATTGTATTTTTTTGCCCTCACGTTCAAATATTACAGTCAAGTCACCCTTGGCTCAAAATAAAACTTCTGCATGTCCTTTTTGCATGTGGAAGTTTCTTTTTTGATATATAAATATATGACGCTGTGACAATGTGCACACATCTGATGTCAGCTGTCATCCAGTAGGAATCCAGCCAGCAGCTTAGCTTAGCACGAAGCCTGGAAATGGGGAAACAGCATCTCTCTGAACAAAGGAAACAACTACCAGCACCTCTGAAGTCCAATTAAAGTCAAACTTAATGAACACGTTATATCTCATTTGTTTAATCCGTACAACAAAACTGAGGTGTACATTTGACAGATTGTGCTTTTACGGTGGGTCATGTACTGGACTATTTCTTGGACGGGAGTAACGGGGCAGTCTTACAGTGGCATCAAGACTTCAGGAATTCACAGCGCCCGGCCAACAAATAGTCCTGCAGATAACCAAGAGATATGACCTGTTCATTTTTGAGCTTTAGAGGGGGATTTGGTGACCTTCGGACAAAATAATAAGACTGCAAAGCCGCCTGCTTTCAGTCTTTATGCTAAGCTATCAGGCTGCTAGCTCCAGCTACATGTTGACCAAACAGGCATGACAGTGGTATCAATTTTCTCATATAACTCTTGGCAAGAAAGCATTTTTCCCAAACGTGAGAAGCTCGTGGAAGTGCTTGCCATGGCTGGCAAAATAGAGCTGTTACGTTTTGATGTCAGTCCTAGTGTGGACTGTGGATGTGTAAATATGTTTCATAATGGTGTTTGGATATATTTACCATAGCTGAAGAGCCCATTGGCTGTCTTGTTGTTGTTTGTTGTTGATGTCTTCCGTGCAGCTCTATCAAACCAAACAACAGACAGATGTGAGAAAACAGACAACTCAACGCAAACGGCTGCTAATTGTAGTTAGCTTAGCTACAAAATAGTCGATACGGACATAAACCATTGAAATGTACTACACTACCAAAAGGCTAGTCAATAATGTACTGAAGACTACCGGTACAACCAGCAAAAACATAATGTAGTAATTACTCAATTACTGTCTTCTGTCTTTTGCTCCTCCTGTCTCCGCTTCATACAGTCTGAGGTACATAACTCAGTGGTGTTCAAATACTACTCGGTCTCATTATTTCTTTGAACCAAGGTCGTCTGAATCAAAGACACTCATATTAACTGAGGTTTTCATTAACTCTGGTAGTGTAAAGGGGCGTCCTGGGGCGTCCTTTTGGTGAATAATATCTATTTTATTTTGTAATTATAATTATTGATGCATTAATGAGTACATCACTTTGATGTTGCAGTTGGAATAACAGTTTGAATAACTGTATGCTGCTTAGTAGCTCAATTTGTAATAATACATCATCATTCATTAGTTAAACTAAAGCTGTCATATTAATGCAGTGGAGGAAAAGTACAATTTATTTATGTAGTATTATTGTATTAGTTATGTAGTATTATTGTATTATTTCTGTAGTGGAGTAGAAGCATAAAGTATTATTTCTGTAGTGGAGTAGAAGCATAAAGTATTATTTCTGTAGTGGAGTAGAAGCATAAAGTTGCATAAAATAGAAATACTTAAGTATAAGTACTTCAAAATAATCTGATGTCACAAATTAGTATTAATATGACGTAGAAAGATGTAGTAGAGTGCAGATCTCTGCAACAACCACTGCCGTAATGTTTGATAGAATGAATACAAAGCACAGTTCGTGTATCAGACTCATTATTCACTTGTCTCACACAACAGATACTCTATTTCTAATATATGCAGCTGTCTACATTTGCTCTGTGCAGTTAAACTATAATTCACAACTTTGTGTTGCCGGTTGAACGCTTCCTCTGAACAAAAACTGTCCGTCCTGCTGAGCGTTGAGTTCCGTTAGCTGTTAGCTATGTTAGCTGTATTAGCCCTGTTAGCTGTTAGCATTGTGAACCAAACACACCTCAGCACTATGCTGCCCGCTGGCTGTTAACAGCTAAGTAGCGCTCCTCCTACCGACATGACAAGACGCGCTCACTCCAATGAAGTCAGCGCTCTGTTCAGTTTGTCATTTGTTTGCAATAGTTGTACATAACGTTACATACATACAAACAAACAAACAATTGTCTTACCTAGATTTGCAAATCAAGAGAAGAACAATTACCCAATTCCTCAGAAAGAAAAATTCAAACTCAAGCAGTCGACCGCTTGCGACCCCTAGCGGCCGTTAAGAGTAGTGAGCAGTCAATGACAAAAGTCAATAAAATATGTTGTTATAAAAGTAGTTTTCAAAAAGTGTGAATTACTGAAACCACGAGAGGTCCTCGAGCATACAATCGGAAAGGGACATACAAAATGATGGAATGAGAGGTTTAGAATACGAGAGTAAGAGCATGGACAGACAAGGTGCATTTCAGTCCACTTGTTTTTTATGCGCATTATACATTTGCGCATAAAAAAACAAGTTGAAACTTGAAAAAAACTCAAAATATCGCTACACTTTGCTGAGGTGAAAAGGTTGGTGAATAGACAAAAGTAAAATGCACGACAGTGCAATTGAAACAGACTAGGGTAATTAATGATGAGGTGCATATTGCATAACTTGCCGCAGAGTGCCCCTGATGCTTTTGTCTCTTACGAGAGCAGACGTCGCAAACTTCTTCTGTATATTTTTACGGCGCATCGGACGTAAAATGCTGCAATGCCTCCACCTACTGGAACATTTTCAAATTACACTCCATAAATTATAATAAATGAGGAAAATGAACACAATTAAACACACATAGCGTTGCTATCACTACCTGTCACTGTTGACTGTAGTATGTACTAATACTTCTAATAATATCAGGGCGACTTATAGTAATTGTGATATTGTTAATAGTGTATCATTATGATGATATCATTGTTTTTGTCATTAGTTAATTAGCTCATAGGCAGGTCCACCGCTGACACTCTTTGAATCATCAGCACCAATCAGTTTCTTTCCCAATGAAATTATTCTCATATTTTCTTCAATTGTCTTTTAAATGATGTGGAAAAATCCCCTCTCTATATCTCTACATGCATCGCCGGGGTTATTGCATAGCTTTATTCTCCCTTTTCTTCACTCGTCTGTGTGTGTGTGTGTGTGTGTGTGTGTGTGCGTGTGCGTGCGTGTGTGTGTGTGTGTGAGAGAGAGAGAGACAAACGCATCAGGGGCAATGTGTGTAATAAGAAAATAAATATGCATAAACATTCTTTCCGTCAGATGGAGGATGTAGAAACGTCGTTTCATAATCATTTGCATATCAATGCTTGTGCTCGCTCCAGCAATCATCACACCTGTCGATGGGAAATAAGTGCACTTTAACCGGTTCAGCTGTCATTACGCACGGTTGCATGTCGGCTATATTTGTAGCGTCTATACATCTATACCGCTAATTCATCACGTTTCTCTGCAAACCATCATTGCGGTAAAATCTCAGTCATTTATGATTAGCAAAAGTCAGAAGGATGATTCATTACTGAGTGCTACATGATAAAGATGAACCAAGATAACCTCGTTTAAAATGTGTGCTACATTTGGATGGAAGTCTGTCTTATTGCACGCATGCACACACACACACACACACACACACACACACACGAGTGAAGAAAAGGGAGAATAAAGGTATGCAATAAAGACAGCGAGAGATATATTGTCCACATCATTAAAAAGACAAGGGAAGAAAATTTGAGAATAATTTCAATTGATTTAATTTAAATTAAACTGATTGATGCTGATGATTAAAGCGGTGGACCTGCCTATTAATTATCATCATAATGATACATTATTAACAAGATGACAATTACTATAAATAGCCGTGTTATTATTATAAATTACAATAATTATAAATTATAATAATAACAATGATGAAATGATTATTAGGATGTGTAGCAGTATAACATTATTAGTACATACTACAGTCAACAGTGACAGGTAGTGATAGCAATGATGTTGTGTGTGTTTAAATTGTGGTAATTATTATAATGTTTCGCGTGTCATTTGAACATGTTCCAGTAGGTGGAGGCATTGCAGCATTTTACATCCGATGCGCCGTAAAGAAATGCACAGAAGAAGTTTGCGACGTCTGCTGTCGTAAACAACGTCAAGATGTCTGAACGAGCAGCTTATGGTTTAGTCTGAAACACAACAGCTTAGTTTTGTTTTTTAATTTACTTTTGCTTATGTTTAGTTTGGCGACTCGGACATTGTATTAGATGGAGAACAATAACTTACCATGAAACTCCGCGTGCAGAATGACAGGTGAGCCGAAGCTTTTACCTCCGCCTGGCCTGATAGGAAACATCTGTTAGCTGCTAATGCTAACGGCAGCAGCCCAGTGCTCTGTGAAGGAGACGACCAGTTTGTCAGTTGTCACTATTTTTGGGTTTATTGCCGGGAAATTACTAATGTAACCGACGTAAAGTTCAGCTTATGTCAATAAGCTTTCGCTATTAGTCTGGATGAGATGTTCCGGATGACTGCTTAACAATTTCACTTGGTTACTACTCGAAACACAAAATACTGTCTTGTACACTCCATTAATACTTCCGCAAACATAATACATATTCCTATGACCACAAGGTTACCTTAGTATTGACACATTAAAGACACTTAAACATGGTCTATACGTCTTGTTTGCTGGGAGCTCTCTATTACAAGAGGTCCTGCAATACGCCATGGTGTTCTACGGTCCTTATCGTAGATTAACTGACAACTGTGCGACCTTCATCATTAACTATTGTACAACTTGTAAATGCAGATGATTGATGCTGGACACCATGTGGCTGAGACTTTAAATGTTTGTCTTTTATGTCAAAGGAGTGATTCCGGAAGAGCACTGAAACTGAGGGAGTCTTCTGCTGTAATGCAGCCTGATGCAAGTGAGCAGGGAGCTCATACAGCGAATGGTTTATCCCTAACTCTGCAACCAGAACTTACTAGGACACCGGCCCCTGGTGCTGCGGCCGCCGCCGCCAACCCAGACAGCGATGAGGTGCGGGTAACCATGACCAGCAAGCCTGGGGAGTCCAGTGGAGGCACGTCCTCCAGGAGGTCCAGAGTCAACTCCCACAGCCACTCCCATTCTCAGCCACACGGACACAATCGGATGCCACACCACTCATATTCGGAGGCTGAGCTTGACCCGCCTGACTCCGATGTGGACTCTGGAGAACCCAGCACCTCCTCCTTGTCTGAGCTTCGCCATCTCTTCCGCTGGCTTCAGAAGAGTCTTCCTTTCCTTGTCATTGTGTCTGCTAAACTAGTCATCCAACACGCTCTCGGTGAGTAGGAGTGAAGCAAAACACCGTGACTGCAACTGTGAACACAACACATCGTGTTCTACTCTTTTCTTTCCATTTTACCAGGTCTAGCAGTCGGGGTCGGCCTCTTCACAACTTTTCTATATGTGAATAAAAACATTCAAACTCAAGTCTTTCTTCAGGTAAGAGGAGAACAGGAGAACACATTGCTTATGCAAGTTATTGCTGTTAGCTTCCTGAACCATGTTCTTTGACTGTTTCTCCTCAGGATCGTCACTCAAAGCTGCAGTGTGTGTGGCTGCTACTGTTCCTGATCTTTTCCACCCTCCTGCTTTACTACACCTTTCTCACCGAGACCCTCCACTATTGGTATGAGTTAATGCGTCACCTCACATCAGTTACCCAGAACAACGAGCCTGTGGTTATTTCCTGTAACTAATTACGTGTTCTTAGAATATAATCTCAATTCGTCTGTGTATTGTGAGTAGGCAGCCAGAACACACTGTGGTCATTTCTTTAAACTCCGGGTGATTTTACTACAGCTCCCTCATCCAGCAGGACTTTGTTCACCTGTACTGCAGTTTAGTAAACAGCTAAACCTGGCAGGAAAGTGCTAAAACGTGCCATTTAACCTGAATGTCAACCTCCTTCCAGCCTCATCCTCCTCAGCCCAACCATTGAGCCGCTGGGTTTCTGGGAGGTTCTCTGGGCAGTCGGCATCACCAACTTCATAATCAAGTTTCTTTTTATGGGGATTAAGTGCCTTATTCTGCTGCTGCCATCCTCACTGGTGGCATACAGTACCCAGGTGAGAGTGGGGGGGTTTCTCCTTTGGATAAGAAAAAAACAACAAATATCACTCTAATGTTACATATGTCTTGGCAGTGCAGGTTGAGTAGCTCTTATTTTGTGTTTAAATGTCTCCAGGGGCGGTGGGTGATGCTGAGTGAGGAGCTGGGTCAGGTCCACCAGGCCACAGCGCCTGTCCCACTTTGGTTCCGCTACCTGGTCACGTACCAGGAGGTTGACGGCACCCCTGGATTCACGCTGGGGGTCCTGCTGGCTTTGTTCTACCTCATACTGAAGGTGTGATCAGTCAAACAAGCAGGAATAGATCTTTGTATTATTGTTAAAAACTAAAAAAAATATATATACATTTCTATTTTAGTTATTTTTCTTTATTTTTCAGATTTTAGAATTGTACGGACAATGGACGTCTTTACTGAAAACCGTGAGGACATTGGTGAAGGGCGAGGTCGGTGGTAAACAACTTCTTTCATAAATGGTCACATTCAGTCACCAGCTGTTTGAAGGTGTTCCTTGTTTCTCAGCATACAGGCTCAGCAGCCACCAGGAGTCAGTGCAGCGAGGCTGGAGACGTCTGTCCCATCTGTCAGGGAGAGTACAGGGAGCCTCGGGTTCTACTCTGTCAGGTAAAACCAAACACGTGTGCGCCGCAGGGCTTTGTAATCAGTGTACACGTAGTATTTGTAATGTGCCGTGTGGGCATCAATAGATTTAGATCCCTCAGGAGTCTGTCGCTCACATCCCTCTTTAATTACGTTATCACACTTAATCACAGCAGTTGCGTAAATCAATTGCTTTGGATCGCAACTTAATAATGAATTGAGCAGTATTACGTGAGAAAATCGGTAATATAAAAGATTTTTAAAAATCAGACTTTTTCACCCCTGCAATTGCTTTTCTCTCTTATTTGCTTGTGTAATAATAACCTGTGTTTTTCTTTATATATAATTCTATGTATCTGACCCGTTTTCGTGATTCAGATGAACTGAAGTGCATCACTTGTGTAGATCTCGTCATGTATGGCAAGTGCAGGACATGCTGACATGTTGTTTTTCTGCCGTGCAGCACATATTCTGTGACGAATGCATCGCTCTGTGGTTTAACCGAGAGAAGAGCTGCCCTCTCTGCCGCACCGTGATCACAGAGAAGGTTTACAAGTGGAGGGACGGAGCCACATCTCCACACCTGCAGATTTATTGATCGATGCGGGGCTTTTGGGTGCAGGGCATTGGCTTGTATTTAATGTGATTTTCTGTGGCTGTCAACCCCCACTGACGAGTAATGTTGTACACACTGTTTCATGAATCTGAGGGCAGTGCCCCCTGCAGGCCAAGGTCCGTAAAGATACACACACTGAACCTACTGTGGGCATTTTTCTGGCTTATTTACCAAAACATCACTATTTCTACCTACACACTCGGACGAGAGAAAGTTGATTATTGCCATGGCCTCAAATGATTTTTGATTTTTCTATTTTAAGTTGTTTTTCCTTCTGTGTTGTGTTGGCTTTATTCACCTTTTAATCTTGATTTCCTGATTGGGCAGCAAATTGTTGTACTTCCAGTTTCCTCTACTTGTAAATACGGGAACATCAGAGAATATATTATATTAAAAAAGTATTTTAAACAGATTTTTCATCCATCACATGTGTGAACAAACATCACACAAACCCTCTTATCCAGTGTTTCTTGCATTTTTTGGGAGTGACTTATTTGTAATCAACAGCACAACTGAATTATGCTTTAGCTGCATCTTTGAGCTTGAACCGGACTGCAAAGGCTTCCAGGAAGCTCAGTACACAGTAACAGCTGGTCCAGTAGTGACCAGACCTTTGCCAGCACGCATCCATGGCAGGCTGAGGAATAACTATGTGACGGATAAACAGTTTGGCTTTTGGTTACCGTTTCTTTTCGTCTGATAAAAAGGATGCAACTGAGCGTGAGACTAATTCACACATTATTTTTCTACAGAGGCGACATGGCCTCGCTTTTGTAAAAACCAAAGACTGGGAGAAACATCTATTTTAGTATGTACAAAATCATTTCACTGTTATTTTTATCCATTTAGAGGCATAAACTATCCGAATAAAGATCTACCATTTGAATGTTTGTGGCTCTTTTTATGAAGTAAACTGAGAATCACTTATTTGCCGAGCAGCTAAACCTTCAAGTCATAATCTGACACAAGGTTTTGAAGAGCTTCCATCAGTTTAGATCATTTTAATCCCCAAGACGTCCTAATCTGCTGCTGATCAGACATTTATTTTTGACTTCATCATATACATGATGCATATAAACATTCCCCATCTGTAAGGGCAGATCTATGGACAACAAAGCAACAGGAATAATGTTATTCAACACCCCTTCTAGTCAGAGACGGTGTTTCTCACCTGAAGTAAGCTTGATAAGATGTTCCTCAAACAACTCGGTGTGGAAGATACTTGACTGTACCTGAACAGAAGAAAGTATCGCCCTCTAACAGACTCTACACACACAAGGAGAAATGATCGCCCTTTGTTTTTGCATCAGTTTTCCCCACAATAACGCTTTAAGCACTGCAAAAGATAAACTGAAGTTCAAGTTTTCAGCAAGGAAAGTGTTAGATATTAAAATGTTTTCGGAAAGTCAGCCTTCAATATGATACTAAGCCACACAATAAATACTGCAAGTCATTTAGGTTACCGTCCTTAATTATGGAATAAAAAAAAAGAAGCATCTGTAAGACATGTTCTGTGGAAATGAAACCATACTCTACATGCTTATTATCATTATGGCAAAATAAGTCTCAGATGAGAAAACCAAATCAAATAACCCATTCTACTGCCTGACCTAAATAATACGACACAATAAATACATAGTTTGCATAGTGTGAACAATACAGTGGAAACACATTGGCACTTCAAATAAATATTTTAACAAATTAACAAAAAGGTTAAGTGGAGTAAAAAGTGGAGTGATTGGTCTTAAAACACAATTGTTGCACTGGAATGGTAGAAGAACTCACACAGATCCGTATTAGACCCTTTGCTGAGCTACACTCTAAATAACATTAAACGATCTCTGTGAGCATCACTGTGGGAAACAAAGTCACTTTGATCAAATCGGACATGATGAACCAAAACGTGACATTTGAACCTTGCAGTTCTTGAATCAGACCAGCGACTCACTCCGCCGGCTGTTCGTTTGCTTACCAGCAAAAGAGAAATCATTTGGTTGGTTGAAACAGTGCTTTTGGTCAATTCATTAAACACTAAGTGTTTGGATAGCGACAAACATCAGGGAGCCATTCAAACCGAAGCTCATCTTCATCCATTACATTTGCAGTTGTCATTGAGGGAATCTGCGTCCGACAGCGCGGTCGGTTTTAGGGTGTGAACATTTGAATGGCTCGACTCCAGAGGCTCGTATAGCAGCTTCACATCACATGAACAGGTCAAACAGGGTGTAACCCTACCACGAGAGCCATGAACACTGCCTGGATCAATGCAGTGCGGTGACATCAGTTTGGCTGTGTGTATTTTGGGTGGACCTGTTGACACGACAGTGGCAATGGGACTACTGCGTGTACAGACGAGTTAAAAATAATGCTGCAGGGGAAGCTGCGCAGGAGGTTTACGCAAAAAAAAAAAAAAAAAAAGGCATACAGAGTCGGTTTACATTCAACAGAAAGAAACTGAGCATTGCGTCTGGACAGGACACACTCCAGTCAGACGAAGTAAAGCAGTATTGATTGTGGTGGAAGTGAAGCTGAAATTTCACTTCTGTCTTTTTATAGCTGCTTTACCGTAATGTTTCGCTCCGCCTACTCCTCACCACACGCTCCAGTGACAAAGGCAATGTAATTGTTTTCCTCAAACATAAAGGAATACTGTGTTCATTGTGGAATTGTTATCTAATAAATCGACCTACTGACAGTGCAAACTGCAAGTTCTCACAAGATAACCGTTAAAATAAGAAAAGCCGTAACCAAACTCTCTCACTGTGATGAGGCAATGAGTCGTTAATGCTAGAATCAACATTCACCAGACTTGAGGATAAAAGAGCACCAGTAAATCAGATGATAATGCCAGTAGACTACACCAGGCTGGCATTACCCAGCCAACAACAAGCGAGTCAACTTTCATTGAAGAGCACCTCTCTCACACAACTTCCCCACAACTCTCATATCTACTTCACTGCTGATTATCTGCGTCAGGCCGAGATGGCCAGGCTGAGTCAGGAGGGATGGGAAGGCGCTGCTGGAAGAGCTGGTGATCGTCACTGACAGTGTCAGTCAATTAAAAAAAAAGATTCTATTATTAGTCTCTTTGAAAGCAAAAAGGAAGGGGGAAGAAGAGGAGGAATTAGAAGAGTCCTAATGTTCGTAGACGAGCCGAGCGTCATAGGTTCATCCGTAGATGTTCTGGCCGCTTGGAGTTCATGGGGTAGGCCTGCTTCTTGTAGGGTCCCGCATTGATGCCTGAAGGGTGCCTGATGGGAAGCGGCGCAGAGGCCTCAGAGCCACCGCCGCTTGTGTCCATTTGCTCTGCTGCCGACACCTCCATGGGCTGCTCCACAGTGCGGCCAGTCGCCGTGGGTCCCCGGGGCCAGCAGTCCCCTCCTACAAACGTCCCCGGGCTGTGGAAGGCGGATATGTGAGACACTATTGTCTGCGAGGCACCAGCCCGTATTTTTAACGTCACAGTGCAAATCATGTGTGTCAGTGAGAAAACACACCTAGAAAGAATATGGAGGCTAAAAGCAGATTGCTCTTTAACTCCCAGATGAGGAATGATTTCAATAGAATTATTGTTCAAATAGTTAGCAGGTATTCAGACGGAAGTTTATCAATTTCTTTATCTGACTGACGAGCAATCCTCTGAATGAAATTAAACCCAAGATTAACACAACTGACCCCGACTTATTCCTGTTGTGCCATTGGAGAGGAGCTTCTATTTATCTTATTAATGGTGGCTAAGTTTAGGTCCAGCCATTTACATTTACAAGGTCAGCAAATATGTTGAAAAGACTCGCTGTGGGAAAAATCTGAAAATAGCCAGATTGACTGAAATGGAAGCCTAGACAAAATAAACTTGCCGTTACCTCACAGGTGTTCTTGGGCTTCCTGGGAACTTCCGTGGTGAGCGCACCTTTGGCTCAAAAGAGAACTTCTCTTTGAGGTTTTCCAGCACAGATGGGGCTACATATGTGAAACCCTGGGGGAGGGGGGGGGGGGGGGGGGGGGGGAGAAACAGAGAGAGGTCTGAGTCCACCTCTTCAAAGAGCATCTTTCCAAAAACAACCCACAGCTGATGATGAGCAATGAAAGCTGAGTAAACCATATCATGCAATGTGGTGGAACAGTGAGGGAAGCTTCCAGGAAAGCCAACAGGACTACACCAGATGGGATGCATTAACTGATTCTCGTAAGACCTACCAAGGAAATAAAAAACACTCGGTTTGTGTGCTTGTTTGCAGACAACACAGAAATAGCAAAGTGCAAGAGTAAACGCCACGGTGTTCGAATTAAAAACGTTGCTTTAAATGCTCAATCCCAAATCAGCATTGAGTCATGTGTTATCTTTGTACGTCACACCGTGGATTATTCCCGATATCATTTGTTGCAAGTTCCAAAAAATGCTGGAAACTCCAGAAAGTGAGACAAAGTAGACAGAAAAGGTCCACTGTGTGCTGGGAGGTAACAGCACTAGTGACCCACCAGGAAGGCCTGATTGGCACTCTCGCTGAGCGTGGAGTCGTCGGGGCTGTCCACTGGAGTCTGGCTGGTGAACTTGGAGTCAAACTGGCTGACGTCATCAGCCGATTGCTGCAAGAAAATAGCAAGTCAGGTAATCATCTATCAGGGACATAATACTGGTCACGTTGCTGCGTTAAAAAAAACAACTTACCAGGTATGGTTTAAATGGAGGCTCTACTTTGCGAGCGAGGAGGTCATCCCAATTTATATGACGGAAGAATGGGTGGGCCTTTGGAAAAACAACAGTAGCAGCAGCAGGGTTTACTACTTCATGACTACTACAAGGTGAGTTATTGTGTTAAGGCCCAGATCAATACGTTAACACACTGCATGCATACTACTGTGACGGATGTATTTACCTGGACCTCAGCAGCATCTCCTGGTCCGGCCCCGAGTCGCAACGAGGCATTTCGTTTCAGCAGCTGAAAGACAAAAGTTTGGAGATTCGTTTTTTTTCCTGCCGCTCCAAATGTTTGCACAGAGACAACACGTCCAGAGAAGCATGAGGCAGGAGGAAGGCTAACACAGCTCACCTTTTTCAGGAGGTCCCTGGCTTCTTGTGTGAGGTAAGGCGGAAGGCTGAGTTTGCATTTCAAGATTTTGTCAATGGTCTTCTTTCGGTTTTCACCGGTGAACGGCGGCTATGAAAAAGTAGTAGGACCGAAACAGTTAGCCATCGTAGCAAATGCTTCCTACATGAATGACATTTACAGTTTGACTTTCTTTGGCAATGCGACTCAGGGGTTGATTAGTGTGCACTTACTGCTCCTGTCAGCATGTCATACATGAGAGCTCCCAGACTCCACCAGTCCACCGCTCGGTTATGACCGCTCCTCATCAGGATCTCTGGAGCCCTGAGGACGGAGAAGGGAACGACCACGATGACTCAGCAGATACACTAGACTGTGTAAGAAGGATGAAATGTGGCTGAATGTGCACAGCTCTGCCATAATGACTCTACACAATCTGGGACATACATGTATTCGATGGTGCCACAGAAGGTGTGGGTCACCGTTCCGTCGTGGATGGACTCTTTGCAAAGACCGAAGTCTGTCAGCTTCACGTGTCCTAGAAGGAAACGGTACCAACATGAGAACATGAGAGAAAGACCCAGTAGAAAGAATACGTTTCTCTTTCTCGTCAGAGAGCCTTCAGGTTTGCGTACCGTTGTCGTTGAGCATGATGTTCTCAGGCTTCAGGTCTCGGTAGATGATGCCTTTCTGGTGCAGGTGACCCATCGCCATCGAGATCTCAGCCAGGTAGAAACTGTCAACAGACGCAGGTCACACATTGTCTATAAATGTTCTGCATGCTACTCAGTTTGTGTTCTTCTCAATGTCATCTAGGATATTCTAGGATTACTACACACCCCTATTTGTTCAGCAGCTTGGTTTGTGTAATCACCGTTTTCATCTACAGACTGTTTATTTATGAAACAGAACAGCAGATACTGTAAGCGGTTTGTCCCTGTTCCAAGTGACCGTCACACCGCCTCAGAAACGGTGTCACATACTGTATCTGCCTGTTCTCACTAGACGGAATGCTTAAAATCCTCCAAACGAGTTTGCTAGCATTAGTCTGACAGAGACAACAGATCACACCGAGATCTTATCTGGCCTGTACGTCATGAGTCAGCAATAAAAGACCTTGCGGAGACGACTGGCAACACAGGGGGTTTGTTAAGATGCCCACCCTGTTGCCATCTGGAAATGGGTTTATATTGTAAACAATATGGGAACAAACACAGTGAGTGGAAAGGGGGATGAAAAGATTCAACAGGATTTAGATTTGACGTGTTTGAATAAAACATCCTGAAACATGAACATTATTTTATTGTATTTAGTTTCTCAGGATAAACTCCCTTTCACCAACAGAAACGCTGTCAATCAGTCAGCTAACGGCTAATGTTATCCCAGATGGTTGAGGCTGTACCAGTCACGGACGAGTTAACTCACCATGCTGTGTCCTCCATGAAGATGCCCTCTCTCTCCAGTTGCATAAACAGCTCCCCTCCTGCAGTCACCACATACAAAGTCAGTCATATTTATCCACAGTGGAACTGGAGACCCACATTTTCATCCAACACTCATAAAATGTTTAAAAACATGTGCATGTAGGGGTGCGTGCTGTACGGTGTTTGTTGATCGGGCCACATGGTGCTCACCGCTCAGATACTCCAGGATGAGGTACAACTTCCCCCCGGTCTGGAAGGCATAGATGAGGTCCACAATGAAAGGATGCTTCACCTCCTCTAGAATGTTCCTCTCAGCTTTGGTGTGAGCCGTGTCCTTTGCATTACGCACAATCATGGCCTGGCAGGCGACAAAACGGCACACAGCGAGTCAGGGTGTGGAACTGTGAGGAATAACTTTAACCCCGTTAGCTAGTGTCAAAGCTTCAACATCAGCTGCAGAGCAAGAATCACGCACCGGGCTGGTAGCTACAGTCAAGTTTCATTGAGCCAATAAACACAGTCATTATCCAAAAAACCCCACAAGCTTCGGGGAATATGAGCTGGCTTCTCAAGCAAAGTCTGGCAACAGCTCCGTGTCAGCTGCAGAGAGGAGGTCAAGCGCAGCAGATCTGAGGTTTCATGTGAAATAGCCTCCATCAGGACGTCACCAGAGAAGGCACACAGTGACACACAGCATAATGTGAAGCTGAGTATTTAATGTGCTCATTCTCATAGATGTAGGCCACTTGTCTTTGCTTACTTATGGATTAGATAATGCAGATGCTATTCCTCTCTCACTACTCTCTATAGGGGGCAGGTTTAATTGGTGGAGAATATTCTCACTGAACAATATGAAAACCTTCAGCCAAACCTGAGACAGGCCCATTCACTCACCTTCTTCAAAACCTTCATGGCAAATATCTTCCCGGAGGTGGAACCTGAAACCTTCCGAACTTGAAACACCTGTAAAGATAGTACATCACATCAATACACAGACATGTCTGCAGCTTTCACCAAGTTAAATTTAAGACATTTTTAAATACAAAATAGATTACAATCTATATCGTATCACATTCCTTCAGTACTTCCCAGCAGCTCATAATTCCTGATGATAAAACTAATGTAACCGATGTGACAAGGACCTGGATATGCAGCAGAAAAGGGGATGGATGTGTTAACCTCATAGAAAATGAAGTTCATTTAAGTTTTGGGCTAAAATCGACACCTATATTAACTCATAATGAGAAAGTTAATGGAGCTTGCAGTAGTGACGGTGCTCGCTATAGGTCTGATGGTGCCAACTGAATCAAAAAGGTTGAGCACCTTCCTGCATGCCCAATTTACTGTTACAACAATCATGCTTTAGTTTCATGGTGTCTTAACTTCTCCCGACAGCACACAACCAGATACAACAACCTGCTAGAACTCACATTACTGCCTACAGCTGCAGGACAAAAGCGGCTTTTGAAGATATAATTGAAGACTTTTCCATGTGTTGTGAGGCCTTTTTTGCCGTTTGTATGACTATGGCTTGAGAAAAGACACTTTGTCATGGTGGGGACATTCAGAGAAATGATTAGGGACAAACGGAAACTGACATGAGGTTCATAAGCCGCTACTGTGCATGTTGTTTCTTCATTCGGACTATGATTGATTAGTTATTCTTCTCTTATTCTGACGAAAGTGGGACCAGGGACAGCTCAGGTTTTGCGTGAGACAGCTAATAGTCTTTCAGGAATAAGTTTTAAGACCAAGGAACTTCCCATCTTTGCCAAAATATACACTGTAACTACACAAGAACATCAAAACAAATGACAGCGTGTTTCAAAAAATGAGAAATTCCCAGGCTGCAGAACATTAGTCATCAAATACCAACCCACTTCAAGAAAGAACAAGTTGTGTGTCTGGTGCAGGGGATTACACTTCTTTACTGTGATGTGAGTAGAGAAGGAGGTGGTTCTGGGACGCCGGGCCTGACATTTAAAAGGTGCCACAGTCTGAACACACTGTAATACATGTTTGGGGAGTGTTGATAAACAGCAGTGACCATGAACAAAGTGAAGAGATTTCCAGCCACAAAAAAAGTCCCCCAGCCAAAGGAATTTCAAGACAATTACAAAACCCTCCCCCATGTACTGGCAACGAGATGCAAATCCCAAGCCAAAAAGCAAATGATAAAGTGGCATTTTCTAAACTTTTCTACGACATGATATGAAAAGGTCCCATACAGTGCCCAGTGAGAACTAAACACCCAACTCTACAGCCCTGCATTCAAGGCTTTAGTTTACAACCTGCGTATAGAATATTTGGTTCAAACCTTCAAAATCGAAATGTCAAGTCATCGTACATCACAAAGAGGAAGAATGGAGGAAGAGTCAAATTCATATTTGTCCATTTTCATGCCAGACGATCAGAAGCCTCACCTTTCCATAGCCACCTTTTCCCAAAACTTTCAGCAGCTCAAAGCATTCAGGCCTGATCTGCTCTTTTCCCTTGTTAACGATGTTCTCTGAAATTTCAAACTTCTCACAGTCATCCATGTTACTGGCAAAACAAAAACAAAATGAAGAAAATCTTATTTGAAACATTCACGTAACATTGCGTTTACAATTTCAGACACAGCAGTATTATCAACGTGGTTATCAAGCATTTGGCCTAAACATAGATTCACACTAGTGCAGTGAGCCCTAATTGGATTAGTAGCCTTAAGAGACCCTATCCAAGAGTATATCATTTATAACTGGGTCTATTTGGATGGGTGACAAATTAAAGGAAACTTGCAGTTGTTTCTTAAAGGGCCTGGGGGGGGCAGACTATGCCAATGAGCCCTGAAGATGTTCTGGAGGCTTGTGATGGTTACAATCACACCGTCTGTTAGTTTTCCCTTTAATTTGTCACCCACCTCGAATTTCTTGACAGTAGGCTTACCTTTTGTTCGTACTTATACTGTAAAAACATCAACACGGAAGGTATCAAAGCACTAAAAGTTATTTACGACCCCTTGAGGATAGTTTCCAGTCATCCAAAGAAAAATATGATGACGTTGTTTCCCCTTTAGGGAGCCAGTGAATTAACGTTATGGTTCAGTTGTACTTACAAGTCGAAGCCACTGCACTGGTCCATGTACTCACTGAGCTGGCCCTGCAAACAAGACGCAGGAGAGAAGAATCTCAGCATACAGGAACGCGAGGGAGGTTATTAAGCAGCCAACACGTTGATATAGTATGGACGTTATATTATTTTTTACTTATAGTGTTCAGCAGTTTATTTCCTAAACAAATACCAAGTTAACCGGTAACGTTACGGCTGACTCAAGCATCACCAGGCTGCTTAAATAGACACACACCTTCTCCTTAACATTTACCAGCAAAAGACGCGTGTTTGTTGTAGCTAATAGCTAATAAAACCAATGTTAGCAACGCTATGTGATGCAACTCTTAACACGTTAACTCAGTGGTGGGAACGCTAGCAAGCAGTGTATTGATTTTAGTTAACGTTACACCTACGGTCCGGCTAGCATTGGTAGGATTTCAGCCTGTTGCTGTGAGGTCATTTACATCTCACTTATTTATATTCGTAATGTAACGTTAATGGGCAAAACATGCACGTGGCATGTATGTAGCTAATTAACCTACACTGTTATGTAGCTACATCTCTACAACAGACTAATGCCGACGCAGCGCGTAAGCCGCTAACTCCATTGTCGGACATTAATTACCTACGCCCGGTGAAATGTAACGCTACGTTATAGGTAACTCGTGTTTCGCTTGTTTTCGGGCTTGCGTTATTCATGGCATCATTATCCATTTACCCTCGACAAGACATTGCTGTCATAGTGGCGTCTGTGCCTTCACCGGGTTCACGTCATGTGCGCTTCAGCGGTGGTTACCTCAACATGTGCCGTGGAACACAAACTTGTCCCCCGTCAACACTTCTAATCACGCGGATGTACTAGACCGGGACAGTGATGAAAATGAACGGTGGTCGGCCATCATCTTATATCAAGAAAATGCAGTGGAATTTGTACTACACACAGTTTAATGGGGCACTGCTAGGTTCCGAGGGAAAGGGGTCAACGAGGACATGTCCGCTGACGGATACCTGCCTGGTCAACGATGTTAGCAACGCAGGCCTCGGAGCTGCTAAGTGCGAGCTAACTGGCTAACAGCGGCGGCATTAGCCTCAACGTTAACGTAAACTCACCCCGTCCTCGAGGTCGTCGTCAGAGACATTCTCATCCGGTTGATCCAAATCGATGTCGAAAACCCCGGCCATGTCCACGGCACTTCACTCGGCGTTTAGTCAGAAAACACAGTCCCGCTCTCCCGCCTCATGGGAGAGCCATCACAGTAACAACCGGCTACAGCGGAAAGCATGGGCTAGCATCCAGCTAACCAAAACAAGACACGCACCGGGCAGCAGGGAAAGCCTCTAGTGTCGGCCACCGGCACTACCCGGCTCAGGCTGGCTCGGAGACAAATTAGTGAAGAAGTGACAACTTGCAATATTAACAGAGGCCTTAACCTCACTCAGAAAATGAGATACATTATTCCAGAGCAAGACGAATGAAATTGGCTCAGTGGTTGAATACAATTATGTACAGTTAATTAGGTCAGAATTTAGGGTAGGCTACTTTCTACTTCTTCTGCTCAACTACATTTCTGAGGGAGACATTGTCATTTTCACCTAACTATAATTATTTGACAGCTTTATTTTACAAATCAAATATTGTTGCATTATAGACATATTAAGGAGTTTTGAAATATGAGTTTTTGTTATAAATTCATCTTCCCAACAGTATGTGCAAGTACAGCTGAAACGATTGGTTCGTTACTGCATTTCTCACTATTTTCTGAATTTTTACAAGCAAAATAAGTAGCAGATCAATCCATAATAAACGATAGCCATTAGTTGTAGTCCTATACAAAATAACAAATAACAAAATAGCACCACCTCAGCCAACAACAATAATACAATCCTGCTTTTACATTAATGCATGAGTGATGTATAATAATATACATAACATTCACAGGAGCCATTTTTCTGTTTACCGACATACTTTTACTCAAGTTACATTTCCAATGCAGCACTTTTACTTATAACAGAGTATTTTAACAGTGTGGTACTTAGGTAAAGGATCTGAAAATTGTGCGACGCTAAATCTGGATTAAAAGTACTTTTTTTATTTTGGAGTTGAGGACACCCTGCCTGTTCACTGGTGATTACTGATATCCAAAGCAAGAACTACAGCAGCAAATTATTGTAACTATGGTATTTGTTTGTTTGAATGAAATATATTAATGTTGATTTAGCAAGAATCTTCACAGCTGGTCCCATTGGTTTGTACAGATGTTTTGCAACTGAGAGGCAGAACAGGCTGTTTCACATGTTGACATGTCACAGTAGGACAGGCATTAATAAGAAATTAGTGATGGCTGAGTTCCATTTAGCTGCTTCAGATTCGTGGTCTTTCTATTATGCATGCTGGCTCACTGTCACAGTATATGATGGCTTATTGGGCCAGTTAAATTGAACAGAGCCATCATTAATGTGTTTCCTACGATGACAAGTCAAAATGTCTGCCATGAAAAATACCTATTTTTTGGCTATAGTCTACAATAGGAGAAGCTAAGTCTCAGGCTGAGGTGGGTTCTTCCAAGTCCCTGTAATTTACTGCTGGGTCTGTCTACAACTCCCATCTCTTACCAGTAGGTGGCAGCGAGGAAAAGGGAATCCTTTTCAGGGTGTGAAAGCCATTTTTCATTCATCCTAATATCTGCCACACTATCGTAGCACTTCAGTCCCATCTAAGATCCTGACAATGTGACTATCCATCATTCAACTTGTGTGTTTCAGTGGCGTTCAGAGAAACGTCCCCCTTAGTAGATGAACGTGAAAGCAGCCTTATAGTGTAAAACATCCAAGTGAAGAAAAAAATAAGCAAAAACACATTTTCTTTATCTGAAGGGGGATTTTAAGAATTTAATTCAGTACAGAAGGGACACACTCCTATTGAACAACAGCCGATGACTTGCTGTGACAGCACAACAATGATGATCATCTTGAGTCATGACACAAGCCATCTGTAGGGCTTTTACAATCATATGAGGAAAACAATCCCCCTCTTTAGGTCAGTTGTTTTCCAAATCTAAGGGTTTGATTACTCATAATGATAATGTGGTGAACAGGAAAGCCTGTTGGAGGTGCGTGTAAATAAATGTAATCTTCAGCAAACTCGTCCTGCTGCTTTCCTTCAATACAGCTGATGTGAAAGCAGTCAGCAGGGCGTCCCAGCTGCAGCGAGGCATATCAATGAGACTTTTCTGAGAAGAGTCATTGTATTTGATCTCCACCATAATTTAAGTGACAATGATTACAGTTGAAATTCCCATTAGGTCTTCAGTCTAGGAGCTAGAGGGTCAATCTTTACCACAACTTATTTTATTGTGGGGGTCCCACTCCCAAGAGGCTCAGGACTCAGGACGGGCCCCCTGCAGGGCGGCGTTACTTTGAGCGCTGCCTCAAGTCCATCCGATAGTTTGTTTTACTTTGATTGCCCGGTGATCAAAACCAGCTGCACCGGGTAAGGAAATATGTTTTTCTGTGTGTGTTCTCTGTTTTGTTTAGCTTTGTTTATGTTTAAACAAAGGGACAGACTAGACACTGTTAGAAAGTCCCGGAGCTCTGTTGTGGGTCCGTGTGATGACTTGAGGTCGGTATTGTGATTATTCAAAATCACTTTGCATATCAACCGACTGCGTTGTGTTCTCATGTTTGGACTCTGTCAATACGGATGGTCATTAATTTAAAACGGAGGGTGAAAGCTGTCAGCATCTCGATGTGTGTTTTTTTCTTGAATGCATACGCCTGGTGTTTACTGCGGGACAAAGACTTGTGTAATGTGAATGTTCTTTGTGTGGACAATGAGTACCAATAACTCAGCAACCTCAGAAAACATTACCGTCTCTGTTTTTTATGATGCTCCGTTTCCCTGTAAATAATATTAAACTGTTAAAATGGCAAAGTGTTCTCCTTTTAACTAAACAGCAGCATGTAATTGACATCAATTATCACAATAGATGTGAGTTTTTAAAGCCAGATATCTAATCTATAGTCCCTGTAGCACACACGTCAGTTGAAATGTCTAAACCAACACAAGGCCTCCAAGTAGCAGAGGTGAGTACATTGTGAAGCAGAACTGGAACTGAAGCTCACAGGCATAACCATATATATGAATGTTTATATGTTGAAATAGCCTTTTTGACATTGGTTTCTTTACTAGAGTTTAGAGTAACAGTTGAAGTGAAAGGTCATTCTACAGATGAAGCCTGTTAGTGTGTGGGATGAATATGTCTGCAGAGTCCTGTCTTCTCTAAAATAAGTTCTTTTTGGTATATAAAGGATGTTGGCTCTGTGAAGGTAAAGGACAGACAAACTGTTGGCAGCAATCAGATATGTAACATAAAAGGTGGGAGTGTGACTTATTTCGGGGGTCCCAGGTGAGGTCAACGCAGTAAAAGTCCTTTCGGTGGAATATCACTGCAGAAAAGCCAGTCCAGATGAGCTGGGAGCACAGTGTGTTTGTTGTGTAGTCTGGTTTTGTTTGCTCTTTGTGGTTGGTTGAAGCACGTTGATGGGCACGCTGCGTACAACCGCGCTGCATGCGGTAAACATGCCCCATGCAGAGTATGTGGACAAGACTAAAATTAGCTCTGATTGCACTGCCATGAGGAGAGAGCTTAAGTTGGTAATAGTAATGTCATATGTTTCTGATAGATTTATGTCTGTATTTTGTTCAACATCAGAGCAAGGTGCTACATCTAAAAATAAGTTATTTTTTCTTGGTTCTGACTTTACCAAATAAGGACGCACCGATCTGAGACGGGGGATCATTTAACTCTCGAAAAGAAAGCGAGTAGGCATATTTCCCAAAATGTCAAACTTGTCTTTAAAATGCACGTTAAAATAGTAACTGTGTCTGCTAACAGAAATGATAGGCGTCCTCTCCTCCACTGTATTCAGTTCTCTTTATACATCCATGATTCATGGTCCCAAGGGGACAAATCCTACTACCTTTGACCCAACCTTTTCATTAGTGCCACCATGCGGTTGACAGCTTTGGTTTTTAGTAAACTGTCCCGACCACTACTGAATGAATAGTTCGGTAAAGATAGAGATTCATGGTCCCCAGAGGAACAATCCTATTGACTTGGAAGCCACCAGTGGGATGAGATTTGTGGTTCTATTTAGCTGAAGCTAGTAAGTGGCTGTCGCCATCAACATTTTTCCACACCCTTCAATAAATCAAGGTGTTCTACGAGTCTCGGATACAAAACTTAAACCTTCGCCCAAATATGCATCTTCTCCAGTGGAAGTGTTGCCTAATTTGCATCCTCAACAGAAATTGCACACCACACATTCACAGAATTGGCATGCTTGGAAGACAGTGAGAGACATTCCTGAGTCATATTTCTGGGATGGCATCGTGTCATGACACAGAAACCTGCATTGACATGTAAAGCTGTGCTTTAGTTGCACTCAGCACCTGAGGATAAACTCAGCTGCAGAGTAAAGACCATACCGTTGAACAGGGTTGTTTCTGACTCTGTGTGTGTGTTGGACTGTTAGGTACATTGCTAGAATTTTACGCCCACTCTACTCTCAGGCTGCTATAGTCCTACTACAGCAGTCACACCCCCTGTTTTTTACAACACACCTAAATGATGCAGTTTCCTCGGTAAAACTCCTGGGACAGAAAAGGTAGAGAAATGGAGAGGCAAGACGAGCAATTGCGCAGGACTCCTCTGTCTTGCTGTGACATGTAGCCACATGAAGTAATTTGTTTGGGTCAACAAAAAGTTTGTGACATTTTCCTCTGAAAGTAACTTCCTGAAACTGAAAGCTTCAAGACAACTATTGATTCATGTAGCTGTTGTAGAATTCTTCAACTGCCTTTTAAAGTGCAACAACAAATACACAACACGACTTGGATCTTAACTCCTTGAGAAAGGCGCAAGAGCTACAGATGTGCGTGTGTTTCGTCACAGTGGCCTGGCATTGCCACCTGGCACCAGCCATTAGGCTGTCTGCCATGCTGGCACTGTGTGGGCAGGAACAGCAGATGCTCCTGCCTAACTATGCTCTGTTAAAATACCCACACATCATTTAGTTCAACACAGCCCGGGGGAGACGAGTTTTGTTGTGTCAAATTCAATCTGAGAAATAGTGCTTCGTTACATAGTGACGGTTTTACTGATATATTTAGATATTTAGATCATTCACTCACACAACAGAGGCCAGCCAAGTGCCTGCTCAAAAGTTTAGTCCGACACTCAATCTTTCTGAATCGACCTAGTGATCTAATTCGAAGGAGAGCAATAATATCTCTCCTCTCAGATGGAGTGAATTATGGAGAGCCTGAAGTCGCTGATAAGCTTGTTTGATCTTGGCATGCCCAAAGCCACAACAAAGGAAACAAAGGCTTTTGGAGCCGGGGCTTTACAGTAACCACAGTTATGATGCGTGTGCTTCCTTTAAGCATCTTTCTCTGTGCCGGCCCGCTCCACTGTGGTCCCATATGACCTCCTGACTGCTACTTACAAAAACAAAGGAGCTTAATGTGATTTTGAAGTTAAAAGAAAAAGGAAAGGGGGAAAAAATTCACTTGGTCAGCATAATTTAATGAGACAGAGTGTGAAAGGAACTAAGTGGATAACCACATGCAGAGTGGGCTTGTGGGTGGTGGATGAAGTCAGTGATATTTCAGCATCCCTCGGTGGTTAGCCTGCTGACAGGTAGGGGTAAAAAACTGGTGTGAGTGACAGTGAAGGAGGTGGTGTGTGTGTGTGTGTGTGTGTGTGTGTGGGGGGGGGGGGGGGGGGGGGGG